CACAACCCACACTTCTGGTCAAAACTGTGGGGTTTTAGTGCAAATTACAAAGCAACATCCCCTCCAGGGAGAATGGGGGGGGCTTTCCTCACACATTTCCAAACCACCAGGGAAATCTTGAGCAGGGCTGTCATGTCAATTCACTACACTTTACTGAGATTACTTATAAGCTCATGCTCATAAAAATCAGAGGGAAATTGTTTTTGGATAGAGGGGACATGAAAAATCCCAGAGTGCTGGACAGGGCAGGGGATGAAAGCCAAATGATACCCTGGGACTGGGATGTGTGTTGTCAAAGTGTCCTGGATCTCTGCAGGGATCTGGGAGCAAGAGATCCCACCAGTGCCAGCAGCTGGATGTTAAATGGCAGCCAGTACCCTGCAGGAGAGTGCTGGGCTCCCAGCCAGGCATGCTGGGCAGAAAGCAGCGCGGATGGATTTCAGGGGTCAGCCCAAAGATCAAGGATTTCTGGGAAAACACAAATACGGGCATGCCAGTGGGGAAAACAGCTGCCTTTATTGCATCCTGCTGCATTGCATCAGCTCTTTTGGGAGCCCATCTACACCTGCCCTGCTTGCCCTCTGCTCCAGCAGGGAGGGGAGCAGCAGGGAGGAAAACACTGGAAGGAGCTTGGTGTCCCAGGGGTGGGCAGGATCCTGCTGCAGATGTGCTGTGAAGCAGGGGAGAGTGAGACAGAGTGGAAATTCTCCAGAGTGGAAATCCATTTTGATTTAGGTGAAATGTACATCTTTGAGTCTGTGGCTAGAAAACAGAGCTATGTAACCTGACTGCAAAGCCTAGGCTCAGAGAAACTGATTCCGTGAAGGACAGAGATAAGAGAGGAGGGACAGAGGGTGATAGAGAGAGACAGAGACTCTGCTGTGAGAGCAGGTCAACCTGACCTAGGAATTCTTTGGGATAAAGAAGAACTAGCAGCAAATGTCACTCGAAATTCATAAAAATGAATATGTATGAACCTATGGTGAAATTGTATGCATATGTATTTGAGAGGGGGATAAAAAGAGACCTGAAATTCCCAGAGGTACTCATGGGTTTTAAGGAGAGTGATCTCCACATGCATCCGGCACTGTAATAAACATACCGGCCTGAAAACTTTCACAAAGTTGTGGAGTTTTTAGTTATCTCCGCAAAACAAGAGCCAGACTGCAGTGGCAGAGGGACAAGAAAGGACAGAGAGCAAGAGAAGGTGGCAGAGTACCTGCTCCTCCATGCCCACGGCTCGCAGGGCTTGGCGTCCCCGGTGGGACAGGGCCAGGTTGATGCTCCTGCCCCGGGCAAAGCTGGATACTCGGATATCTGCAGAGAGACACAAAGCTGGACACCGGGATATCTGCAGGAAGAGACATGGAGCCACTGACAGCACAGCCTGCTGGGGGGGAAACATCTCCCAAACCCCCTGCAGCAGCAGCAGGAGGGGTAGGGGGAGTCCAGCCTGGACCCGCCGTGCCCCTCTAGCCTGGAAAAAGCAGCAGCTCCAATCCAGCAAAGGGAATGGAGGATACCAACTATTGTCACAGACATCTTTTATGAAAAATCCTTTCTTTAGGATTTTTCCTCCTGAGAAGCTGAGAGGCCTCAGGAACAAGATGTAAGCAATGGTTATCTGCTGCTGTGGAATGCAACAGGTGGGTCTACGATTGGTCTCATGTGGTTGTTTCTAATTAATGGCCAATCACAGTCAGCTGGCTCTGACAGAGAGTCTGAGCCACAAACCTTTGTTATCATTCTTTCTATTCTATTCTTAGCTAGCCTTCTGATGAAATCCTTTCTTCTATTCTTTTAGTATAGTTTTAATATATATAATAATAAATCAAGCCTTCTGAAACGCAGAGTCAGATCCTCATCTCTTCCCTCAACCTGAGACCCCTGTGAACACGGTCACAACTTTGTTCATGGCTGATCAGATGGAAATGTCTGGGCATTGGCTTGTTCCTTCTGCCATTTGCCTCATTTGGACTTGCTGGGATGTCTGGCCAGTGCATGGGGCAGAGCCTGCTCATCCCAGTACGTGTATCAGTGTAAGCAAAGGGCCAAAAGCTGGACGAGGGCAGTAGGATCCATCCAGCCCAGAAGGCAGGTAAGAGCAATCAGAGGCTTTTTGAAGCTGTGGAACTTCTGGCAGCATTAAGCTGTGCAGCAGAACTGCCTGTTCTGATGTCTATCAGGGCAGGAAGAGTTACCACAGGGTGTCAGGCACGGCTCCTCCCTCCCTGCACTGCACAACTTGAGTTATTTCCATGGTATCATTCCCACCTGCCCCTTGGCTTGCCACCTCTGCCCAGGTCTTTTTTGTCTGCCAGCTGGCAGATACTGAAGATGAACAATTTCTCTGCCTTTGAGCCAGTGGCTTGGCTCCAAATCCAAATTTCTCTTTTGTGGTGCCTCATGGATCTGGAGGCTCCATCTCTTCTTCTGACCCAGCACTGTGCTATAATGCTTTCTGCAGAGACTAGGCTTCAAAAGTGGAGATCTGAATCAGTGTTTAAGCCAAGAACATAAAAAGGGCATAATTTCAGCAGCTAAAAAGTGGGTTCCCTCCACACAAGATGAACTTCAAATAAGTGCTCCTCCCTACCATTGGAGTTCAAGGGGAGAGAGAAAAGAATATCCCCAAAGTGCCACTCTCAGCTTTCATTATTTTCTTACCGTTCCAGTGAGCTCCCACAGTAATGACCAGGCTGACCTTACCTTCTCTGGCTTCATAAACATCAACGTGGAAACCTCTTCTGGCAAAGAAGCAGGCATTCAATGCACCCACCTGCAAGACAGGGATCAGGAGGGGTGGATGAAGTATCTCAGGGGTCCCTGCTGAGATGCACCAAAGGAAAGAAGTGATCAGAGGATGCAGTTCAGCATAGACAGGGATGTCCTTTGAGCAAGAAACTCAGATTTTTTACTGGAGAGCAGTCCTCTGCCAGCAGTCCTCTGCCAGTCCTCTGTGTGTTTGCAGAGTCTCCAAGGCAAAAGCCATCCATGAAAACTCTTTTTATAAAGTCATACCAAGCTCAGGCTTGTTTACACACAGCAACTGAATGCAGCAGGGCTCACCTCTTCCGCCAGAGACAACAGGAGCTGGTGCAGGCAACTCCAGCTCCTCTCTGGACTGTGTTTACCTCCCTCACCGGTATTCAGGGCACAGCAGCATTCCCTTGGGAACACAGTGAGGGAGAACACTACAAATATATCCTGTTTGTAATTTAAGTGATTTTTAAAAATTTAATTTCCACTATGAATTGTTGTCAGCACTACAGCCTCTTCAGTCATCACTCTTTTCCAAGAAGCTAATGGCCAAAAAGTCCAGGGAGAGATGTGGGTGCTGCGATGCCCCAGGCTGTCATAGAATCATTCATAGAATGGTTTGGGCTGGGAAGGATGGGAAGGACCATCTTGTCACAGCCCCCTGCCATGGGCAGGGAAACCTTCCACCACCCCAGCTCACTCAGAGCCCCATCCAGCCTGGCCTTTAGTGTCACACCCCTCTGCAATTAGCAGTGGATGAAAAAAACCATTCCCAAACAAAAGTGGGCAGAGGAAGGTGTTTCCTCTCAGCCTGGCATTTACTGGTTTCAGCTCTTGCCAAGCATTTCACATCAGAGCTTTGGTTACAGCCAAAATCAGCCAAGGGACAGGGCAGCCCAAAGAAGGATTGGAGTTTAGGGTACCTGGGCACCACTGCTCCAGCCACCCCCAAACCCTTCACCCAAGAGAAGAACAGGAGCCTCCCACAGCAGGAACTCCCTCAACACCCCATCATCTGACAGAGGAATGACTTGAAGCAAAGCATTCACCCCCACACCCAAGCAGTGTTTTCACAGCCCCAGCTCCCCAGCAAACAACCATGCAGCAGCCAAAAGGCATTTCCTACCAGACCACCACCAACAACAGCAACTCTCTTCCCTCGTGGGTCCCAGGGCTCCATGCTGGCTCAGCCCCTGGGGCTCAGCTCCTGCTCTGTCTCTGATCCCTGTGCTTCTCCCCAGCCCCAGTGTCCTTGCCAGTGGGGAGGGGAAGGGAAGGGAAGGAATGTGGGTGGCTGAGTCATGCCTGGGCTCTTCTGCCCCCAATTCCCATTAAAGTTTAACTCCCAGCCCAGGGACTGTCAGGGAGTCAGCCTGGGGTGTTGAGATGGCAAAGTCAGGCAGTCAGGCTGCTTTGGAAATCGCAAAGCAATCCTGCAGTCTCCAAGGAATGCACACAGAGCAGGAGGAGAACTTGCATGGGCCAGGCTTTTGCTGGTGCTTCACTGGGATACAACTGCAGAAGCACTGGTGGGACAATGTGGGGTGACTTCTGGAACCTCTGCTGAGGGTGGGATGTGAGCCACGCTGCTTTCCCAGGAACCTCATCCCATCTTTGAGGACATCTTTGATCCAAGGAAGCTGTGTGTGTGTGTGGCTCAGGGTTTTGCGGTGGGATGCTCAGAAGAGGCTCCATGCCTGCTCTGCAGAAGCTTTCCAGGGTTTAAACAAGGCTGTGAGGAGCCATCTCTGCAGGCATCATTTCACATGGAAATGCTCTGCTGAGCCAATGCAGTAAACATTGCAAAGGGAGGAGCCAGTTAGAGCCAAATACAATAATTAAACAGCAGACAGCGAAACTGCAGACGTTTGTATCACCAAGTACAATTTATCGCTAAACCTGCCAGGCCCCAGCAGATTTGGCTCAGGGAATCACTAAGGTAGAAAAAGTAGTAAAACCCTCTAAGAACATCACCCCTATGACCCTAAATGCCACATCCATGTGGCTAACACAGACCTACAGGGATGGGGCAGCACTCAAATGCTTCCCTGGGCAGCCTCTTCCAATGTTTTCAGTCAAGAATTTCTCCCTAATATTCAATCCAAACTCACAACTTGAGGCCATTCCCTCTTTCAGGCAGAGAAGTTGTAGAGAGCAGTAAGAACCTCAAAGACAACAGAGCAGAGAGGGCAAAGAGCAAGGCAGGCTTTACATAGTAAATAAATTATTCATTAATTGTTTTTGAAACACAGACAGCTTCCAGCAGTGATAGTTACTATCTTTTCTTCATTCCAAAATGAAGAATTGAGGTCCCTGGGTTTTCTTAATCAGGCTCACTCACAAACTGCAGCAGGCAAACCCAGTGTACAGATGTTCTCCACTCTAAAAACAGAAGGTGGGAATATATTGACAAAGTGCTATAAAATCATCATTCTTCTTTCTATATTAAGCAACACCAGGCTGCTGAGAGCATGAAAAAGTGTTGCCTGATAAAAACTCCATGTGAGCCTTTCAAGAAGTCATAAATAACACTAAAAAGGACAGGATAACATGGGCATGGATTTAAGCCTGTCCTCTGGGGAAAAGTAAAGGAGGGAAAAGTGCTCAAGAAAAAGACATGTCAATGGCTGAGGAAGAACAGCAGGATTTTATTGGTTTTAGAAAGGCTCTGGTCCACTTGCAGAGGGTCCTGTACTGTCAGTATGTGGGCCACCTGCAACAAGAAAAATGGAGTTATTGTGTTTAGTAACAGCCTGTAGTGCTGCAACTGCAAAAAAACCAAAGTGTTTGGTCTCATACCTTGTGGTGGCAGGCAGCTGAAGAAGAGGAAGAGCAAAGTTTAAAGGCCATGACAAGGCCATGACAAGCCCTACTGATTCCTGCAGGGAATTGCACTGATCCTGACAGGAGGCAGGGGTTCTTTACTGGCTCAGATTACAAACCCGTGCCAAGGGGAAATAGGTAGAAATGCTCATCCCTTGTAATCCCATTAGGGAAATAATCTGTTCAGGAATTCAAATCCCCTGCTAAAGAGGGCTGTGCAGACACCCCTGCCAGCAGGTCACCCATGCCCTGTTCTCCTGTTCACTGAGGCTCTGAAAGAGCCATGGACAGGAATAAAGGTGGAGCCCTCAGCGTGTCCCCATGTCACCCCCACCTTCCAGGGTCTAGAAAGGGGCACTTCTTCACCAGCCTTGGCATGTAAGGACTTCCCAGCAGCTAGGAAGCCAAGCAGGGCAGGCTCAGAGGAAGCACAAAGCTAGCGAGCCCCTGGGGGAACTGCCTGTGGTCACCGGGCTCAAGGGCTCTATGGATTTGGGAGCATCCTGGGGAGAAGTTCAAGGCAGAATTCATCCATTTCTGCACTTTAAACCCACCCCCTCCAGCTGCAAGCATGAATTTATGGCAAAGGCTCAGCATTATTTCTGATACTCCCCTCCCTCTGCACCATTTCGCTTAGCTGGTGGTTTGGGTCTTTTTTTATTTTCCCAGGAATCTCTGATTAGCAAATGTCCCAGCAGTGCTTGGAGAACATAAACCCTGCTGGGACCTTTAGGACTTCCCCATCCCCTCCCCATCCCCGATTTATGTGGCAGGTGAATGCTGGGTTCACAGGGACACCCAAAAGGCAGGGTGGGAGACACAAAAGGCAGGGTGGGAGACACAAAAGGCAGGGTGGGAGACACAAAAGGCAGGTTGGGGGATCTCTGATATGCTCCCCCTTGTCAGATGCCCACATGTATCCCCCAGACTGCCCTGGCAGCCCAGCTGGGCAGGGAGAAAGGGCTGCAGGAGCATGTTGACTCACAGAGGCTGGGCAGAGGTGCTGCTCCAGGGCTGTTCTGTGCTGGGGGGCACTGGGAACACCCCCGTGGGAGGGTAATGGTGGTGGTGGTGCACCACAGGCACCTTGGGCCTCTCTGCTTTCATAGCAAGCTGCAGGTCCTTCTTGGAGAGAGACAGACAAAGGGTGGCTTGGGAATGGAGAAAAATGCATTGGCAATATCCATAGAGGCCATACTACTTTGCTGGTTTGGATTTAAGTTTGTATAAGAGTTTTGTCACCCTGATTTTTTAATATTTTCTAAGCCTTCTGATGTTTACATTCTAGTAACAAACTTTCTCACACGCTTCCTGTAAATAACTCATTGTTTTGCATTCTTTTATAGAAGAGGAGAAATTTGATAGACTGGTTTGTCCAGTGTCATTGGAGAGGTGGCACTTTCACCCTCCAATCCACTGTCACTTTTGGAAATCTATAAATGTTGAAGTGAGAAAATAAACTTCCCTTTTTTCACCTTGTAACAGCAGTGTTGTTTTGTTTCCTATAGTGACAGTTTTAGTATGTTTGGTACAGCAGTGCTTAGTGGTGGAGTTATTTTATTTAATGCACAGTAGTCTACAGTTAATTTTTATTATTTTAGACTTTTAATTTTTTTTATTATTTAGATTTATGCACAGGTGAAATGAGGCTGTTGAAGGGTGAGTGGGTTTTGCTGACTATCTTTTGCTTTTTTAGCTTATGGATTATTTTGTAGGTGGGGATTACACTATCTTGATTTGTTTGGTATTGTTGGCAGTGTGTTGTTGAGGTGTCAATCGGCATTTGTTGGTTTTTATTTTTAGGAGCTTTATTGTAGATGGATTTCTTGATAGTTTGGGTAAGGGGTTTAATTGCGTGGCGTTTTTTGTTTTTACAGTTATATAAATATTATGTATTTATATATAATATTTATATAACTATTAAGTTATACATTATAATATAATAATATTATAAATAGTATATGTTATATTATATATATTAATATATATTATAATAATGTTATATATAAATATAATATAATATAATTTTTATATATAAATATATATTTATATATAATATTTATATAACTATAAAACTATAACTATATAACTGTTACATATAAAATTATATATATATATCTAACAGTTATATGTAACTATATATAACTATACATATAGTTATTTTAAATGTTTATTTGAGGTTTTTTGGGGCAGAAACCTGTGCCCCTCATGGAGGGGGGCAGGGTTCCACTCAGCCACCCCTTGTGAAAGGAAGATTTTTGGGATATGTCTGGAAAAGAGTCTGCAGGTTCCACTACAGAAGGCCCAAGAACACTTGGTGACTTCAATTTTCACCTGATCCTCAGACCCCAGTCCCCCCAGTTTATTCCATTAGTCAATGCCAGGGAAATGCAGCATGCCAGGATGGCCTGCAGAGGAAGGTGGGCATCAGGGCATGCTCTGCCATCTTTCCTAAGGTGCAGTGTCCTCCCCAGTGCTCTCCTCTCCCAGCTCTCCTCCTGTGTGCTTTGGCCAGGCCTGGGTGTTGTTTGTTACCTGCTGGGGGACATGAGCCATTGCCCCCCCAGGCTGTGTGAGCAGGGCTGGCGGCAGAGCCTTCAGCATCATGTTCTGCATCATGATCTGGTGCATCTGAGCGTTCTGCATCAGCATCATCTCCACCATGTCTGGGAAGAGAAAAGAGTAAGAGCTTTATTCACAGCTGACAAGCAGTATAGGCAAAATTATAGAGTCCTTCAGCACAGAGTGGGCACTGCCACAGAGGCAGAGCAGCTGAAAGGGGGCACATTGTCCTGAGCTGTAAGGTGCGTGTGTATTTTATTTGCCATCTATTAGGAGTAGGGCAGTTCTCTTCTGTTCATTGGGCAGTTTCTTTTATCTCTTCCACAACCCATCCTCCCTCCAGAGAGATCTCTTCTATTAATAGGCCACTGAGTGTCCCTGCACGGCTGATAAAAATTACATCACCCCATTGTAAGGTGCTCCACCCAGAAAGAAGAGCCAAACATCCCTACCTAAATATAATCTGAGACTTAGAACAACAGAGATAACCTTTTCCCACTAAATTCCCAAAAGAACAACTTATCTCCTCCACTAGATTCCCAGAAAAATACCAAACCCATCTACACCACCACCAGACATTCAAAAACAAACCTCCACCCTTCTACAGAATCACTGCTTTGACAAAACCACATCTGTCACTCCAAGAAAACTACAGCCACCATTTAATCAAAACTGCTACCAACACCCTAACCAACAGTGCCAAGTCATATTCTACCTCTGTCAGTAGCTTCTTTTCTAGTCTTTTTGTACTATTATTTTAATTTTCCTAGTAAAAATCTGTTATTCCTATTCCCATGTCTTATGTGATAGTGCAGTGCCACCTTGAGTGAGAGCCCACTGGCTCATGGAATAGAAAAGTTTGGAAAAGACCTCTAACATCATCAAGCCCAAGCCTCAATCACTCATTTCACACACATCAAATCTCCTTACAGGATCTCTGGGATACAAAGGACTTGTGCAGTGTAACTAATTCATGTGGGGAGGAGTGAAGAGGGAGAGGGGAGAAAAAAAGAAGGGAAAAAATAATGAAGGCAACTCTCATTTTCCTTTTTACTGATCATACAAAAAGTAGTTCATATGTAGCAGCTTTAGAGAAGTCATGAGTGGATTTGGACTATTTTGGTAACGGAAATATAAACTCTGATTCAAAAACCCAGACACTTGGATGAAGTATGGGCTGGGAAATACTGCAGTTCCATGACTGGAGATTCCTGGGTGGGATGAAACTTTGGCTGAAGGCTGAGCCAGGGAAATTGTCCCAGGTTTTATTTCATGTATCATTTCACAGTAGCATCCACCTATGTTTAGAAACAAACTTTTATTGGCATTGCACTATATTTAGAGCAACACTTTCAGATGTTGTGTCTTGTTTCCAAACACAGGGTACAAACAAAAGCCTGAGGAGATTGGACAGCAGGTTAGGAAGGAACAAAAGAATAAAACCAGATTTTAGAAGCCTGTTTGCCCATTCCGGAGTCACCCCTGTGAATGACTTTGACTTTGTTCATATTTCTCAGTGCCACGTGTTGAGCTGTTCTGCTTTCCCAATCTCCCCTAGAGTTTGCAGTTCCTTTTTCTTTAGTTTTAGCGATAAGAGTTTCACAACTGAATGCTTTCACAACTGCTACCCATCCCACTTAGGAAGCACAACTCCCCAATCTCCAGCAGCTCATTAAACAGCACATCCCTAACGAGCTTGGAGCCCATGCCATGTCCCCTGCCAGGCCTGGTGGCAGGAGCTGCTGCTCTATGGAGCGTTTCTCACCTTCCTTGATGCTCCCAGGGCGGGGGGCTGCCAAGGGCTGGGCTGGGGGGATCTGGGTGATCACAGGGGAGGGCTGAGGCAGCTGCTGGATGATGGTGGCAGGCTGAGCTGGCATCTGCAATAGGAAGGGAAAACGGACAAGTCAGGCTTGGTTCTGGCCAGCTCCCCTGTGACGGTGTTCACAGGGGTCCCAGGATGAGGGAAGAGATGAGGATCTGACTCCATGTTTCAGAAGGCTGATTTATTATTTTATGATATATATTATATTAAAACTATACTAAAAGAATAGAAGAAAGGCTTTCATCAGAAGGCTAGCTAAGAATAGAAAAAGAAAGAATGATAACAAAGACTTGTGTCTCAGAGTCCAAACCAGCTGACTGTGATTGGCCATTAATTAGAAACACCCACATGAGACCAATCACAGATCCACCTGTTGCATCCCACAGCAGCAGATAACCATTGTTTACATTTTGTTCCTGAGGCCTCTCAGTTTCTCAGGAGGAAAAACCCTAAGGAAAGGATTTTTCATAAAAGATGTCTGTGACACTCCCCCAGCTATGGGAATAGCAGTCATCTGCCCAGGCTTCAGGAAAACTCTGGGATCCTCATGGAGAAGCTGTTGGGGCTGTGGGCTGCCTGAGCAGGCAGTGATGTGCATTAGAAAGCGGCTGAATGCTCAGGCTGGAGTGTGGGCAGCCCTGCCACTCCTTTTGCCATCTTGCTCCAAGAGAAAACCACTCCCATTGTTAATTTTGGGGATTATTTGCAAGACGGCAAATAAGGTTTTCCCTTTTTTACCTTTAGGTTTCACTGCAAGGGTCCCATCAAAGAGCAAGAGGGATGTCTTCCCTTTTTGTGGGATGAGCAATCCCATCCAGCTCCCAAATGATTGCCAGCTCAGACTGGCACAGTGCTGGTGGTGTTTTCTAGGAGCCAATCCTTACTGTCTGCTGGATAATCCTTGGTGGCTCCACTGGAGAAGCTGGAAAAGGGATCTGGTAGATTTGTGGCAGGGCAGCTCTGTGGTCATGGCAGTGTCCCCCATCTGGTGCAGGTGGCTGTGAAAGCTCTTGCAGAAGGTGCTGCTCCTGCAAAGTCATGTTTTTTTTTTTTTTTTTTTTTTAAGGAAAACCTGGACACAGCAAGGCAGACATTATGGTTATGCTCCCTGGACTAAATGGCATCAGCCCCTAGGAACCTGCAACAAGGACACTGCCAATGCCTGCAAAAGCGTAAAGAAAGTTTTCCTTGCCACAGATCTTGAAACATAAGCAAAAAGGATTGGGGGGGGGGGAATGCACAGCACAAGCTGCCAAAAGTCTGGGAAAACATTTCAATAATAGTTGGTGATGGTGTTCACAGGGTTGAGAGAAGAGACGAGGATCTGACTCCATGTTTCAGAAGGCTGATTTATTATTTTATGATATATATTATATTAAAACTATACTAAAAGAATAGAAAAAAAGGATTTCATCAGAAGGCTAGCTAAGAACAGAATAGGGAAGAATGATAACAAAGGTTTGTGTCTTGGACACAGTCTGAGCCAGCTCACTGTGATTGGCCATTAATTAGAAACATCCAATATGGGCCAATCACAGATGCACCTGTTGCATTCCACAGCAGCAGATAATCATTGTTCCTGAGGCTGATAAACATTTTGTTCCTGAGGCCTCTCAGCTTCTCAGGAGGAAAAACCCTAAGGAAAGGATTTTTCATAAAAGATGCCTGTGACAATAGTTGGTATCCTCCACAAGCTAGGAATAAATAGCAACTACTGTTGTGTCTATTTGGCATCACTAAAAATCCCTTCTTTGCCTTCTGGCACAGAAAGTTTATGGTGCAGCAGCTCAGGAGAAGCAGAATGACCCCACTGCAGTGCCTGGAGCAGGTGCAAGCTCCCTCAGCTGTAGTGAGCAAAGCCAAGCTGCTCTCCAGGCTCCTTCCCTGATTAGCTGGCCCAGCCTTTATATCCCAAAGCAGCAGAGCACTAAACCCTGCCCAGCCCCAGAATTAAAGGCCAGGACAACCCTGAACCCACATCAGCAGTGGGTGTGCAGGGAATTGCTCTTACCCTGAGCTCCTGCAGCAGATTTCTCCTTTGCCTCAGGGCACTTTGGAGCAGGTCCTGAAGTCTGTTCCCTGGAAGAGGAAGAGTCTCCATTATCTCCCCAAAGGATCACAAAGACAGAGCTATTACAGCACCTGTGTTATGATACCAATGTGGAAAATGTGTTATTGGATAGCTGGGTGTTGCATATGGGTAAAAACCTTACAAAACAAGAGCTTGTTACCTTTTTAAAATCATGGCTCAGGAATGAGCTTGTTACCTTTTTAAAATCATGGCTCAGGAATGCTACTTGGCTAAGCAGAAAAGGACTGTGGGAAAGTGACTGAGCTGAATCAGGGGTAGAAAATGAAGTTAGATAACCATGATGTGCTCACACTGTGGTGCATGGTGGTTGGTTGGATTATGTTTGTTATAATTTTAAACTATGTAAAGTAAAGGCCTAACTGCTCACAAAGATCTGGTTTTTGCAATAAAGGGACTCTCCTTTGCACCTGCCTGGGGACTCAGTGTTGCTCTGCTTCAGCAGCTTGAGTTCCTCCACAAAGGGCTTGGGCTGCTTTTCTTGCTCAAATACATGTGTGGATAATGACTTTATGCCATGTGCAGCCACAGCTGCTCAGCAGCTCTACAAAGGCAAAACCCCTCTGAAAAGAAACTCTTAAGATTGCTCTTTAAAGCCTTCTTTTAACCTCCTGGTTTAGGAATCCATTTCAGGCTGAAGGTTTCTAGATGTGCCCTGTGCATGCAGAGGATGCCTGTCTGTAGTAAAAGCTCCATCAAATCTGGTTTGAATATCAACTTTTCTGGTTCCATTTTGTTCTGCATCAACTACCTTTTCAGTTCATGCCACACCATGGCTGATTTTGAAATGAAGATAAGCAAGAATGTTCTCATATACCTTGGAGCCACGCCCGGCATCTGCTCTGGAAAGCACCATTTTGTATTTTGAAACTGTAAATTGTTACAGGGGATTTTTAAAAGTGTTTGGCCAGAGCATGAGAAAATTCCAAGTACCTGTGCATCACATCAATGAATGGGAACACACAGTACAGTCCAGAAATATCACAGAGCTTCTCTTGGTGGCCTTGAATCCATGGACAATATAAACAGTGCATGTGCCATGCAAAGAAATTAAGCGTTCCTCTTGCCTTTTCAGAGTCACCCAAGCCAAGGAAATTACAACAGGGTGTACTCCTAGGTGTAAGAGCTAGGACAAACTGGATCCACATCACTTTGCTCCAGCTGAGAGGCTGCACAGGATAAGATGAGCCTTTTCTGGGCAGGAAGGCATCTGATGTGAGTGCTCAGCTGGTTGTTCACTGCCCTTGGTCAGGAGAAAAAAAAATAGCTGAAGAAACTCAAAAGATAAAAAGCAGTTAGCTCACAGATGAAGGGAAGAGAGGGGATCATCTCCTGAGGAACTCATGCCTGAGAACATAAGCAAGCCCTTTCCAAAATATGCCTAAAATTAGAAGAAATGCTTCTCTTACTTGCAGCTGGGAGAGACAAATCCATCTTCTCTAGGTTCTCCTGTTCATTTTCTAGTCTCTGTTGGCAGAACCATAACCAGAACTGGTTATAAGTCAGGCAGAAGAGCTCGCAAGGATTCCCAAGCCTATGGCACGGGCTTGGGATGGAGGAAATAGAGCAGGAGTGGAGAAAAATGGTAGTTCTTAAAGAAATATGAAATGTTTAATTACAAATCCAGTTACAGTAAAGAAGAGTGATGCTTCCAACTGTCCAGGCCATTTCAGACCTTAAAATTGATAGCATAGTGAATCAGGAGACAATTTATTTTGAAGGGCAGAGAGCTGCATCATATGAAGAACTTGATAATGTTGAGTTTGGGCTTCCAAGATCTGGACTCCTGATTCAACAAAGGTCTGACCAGGCAACACATCTTATGTGAAAGCAGCCATGAAATTGCCTTAAAATAATCTGAGATTTTCTTTACCCAAGATTTACTCCTAAACTTTGCCTGTCCCAGCTCAAACTGGCTTTGAGCTGACTGGTGACATCTGCCATAAAATCAAAGCCAATTTAATTTACTGTAGGTCCATGTAAACTTGCAGAATGTTATTTAAGAAAGTGACAGTGAGTAGTAGCACTCCTCAGAGTATCTCAGTAGAGTTAGACTATAACATAATAAATTTATGTTAAAATTTAGTGTTAATGCTTCAACATGCAAGAGCAGAAAGCAGAGCAAAGGTGACCCTGCAGAATGGTTCCCTTACCTTTTCCAGGAGTTTGAGTTTCAGCCGTGTCAGCTGATCCAGCACTGAGGGATCTGCCATCATCTCCTGGAAGAGCAGGCAGGCAAATCAGGTTAAAAAGCTAAACAGAGGCAGATGGGTTTTCAGCATTCATTTTTTCCCCTCCAGAATCTTCACAGAATAATTCCATTATTAAAAACCAATAACACAAGATGAGTAGAAACTGAGAGAAGCACCTAAAAGCTTCAGCTTCACTCCCAGGCCAGAATGACTACAGGCTTTCACAAAATCACACACACAGCTTTTCCTGCCATTTCTCCCCACATACTTCTGTGCTGCAGGTTGTGATGCTCACAGGAAGGCAAGCTGAGACTGAATATTTATTTTTCTGTTCCTGATGGTTGCTATCCTTCCCCTGGCAGCATCACTAAGCCTGTGCTCTGTGTTGTTAGAGACTTTTAATTAGCACAGAGTGTCTTGCCTGGTTGCTAAGTTTATAGTGTCAACAGGTAACATAAACAATTTCATCTCCAGGCACAGGAGCTTGTGTACCTTGGGTAAAGCAAATGCTCGGCACATTAGTGGACAAGAGAAAAAAAGAGAAATAAAAGCCTATGGTTCTTTGAAACAAGGCCAGAAAATCCTCTCACGTGCCAGCAGCTCTCCTGGGAAACATCTCTGAGCCCATTTCTGTACTTGCAAAACCCAACAAAATTTTTCTCTGACATCTCTGACCCCGCCATCTGAGCAGCTGCAGCAGCCTTTGACAAGGCGTTTCCTAGTTATGCCTGCAAACTGCATCAATGTAGTTTGTTTCTGTGCTTCTAGGAAAGAAACCCATCCCTTTTTGATTGCTGCTGAATATTGAGCTGATTATTTTACCACCAACTGGTTTAGTGCAGTGCCCCTAAAAGCTGAATTTCTAGAGCCTTCATTGCAGTATGAATGGAAGGCCACAAAATAGTTTGGCAAAGAGAACCAGTTATGAGTGTTGCATTAAAAGTATAGCACCATATACTGTGTGTATGTAAGTATATACACATATATATGTGTATATAAGTAGAGTGTGAAGCAGCTGAATTTACTAAAGAGGAAATGAAGAGAAGTTTGTGCTTGATGTGACAGGTATCCCAGAGGAAATCCAATACTGGGGAAAAAAAAAATTAAAAAAATTAAATTAAAAGGCACTTTGCAGCAATCCTGCTAAAGGATCTCTTTTTCCCTTCTTTTCTCTTTTTTCCACACTTGGTCACATTGTGATCCTCGCTCTTGGGATATCTTACAACCTTTTAATTAATGTGGTGCCAGGAATGTGCCAGCCACACACAAAATCTGGCTGGAAGGGATCTGGAGCTAACACTGAATCCCAGAGAAGGGATCACACTGGAGAATGAAAACTCAAAAGAGCAAAACCAGACAAATCTAATCCTACAAAAGAATAACAGGTGTGTTACATGCCCCTCACAGGACAGCATTATTCTGCTCTATTTAGCAGGGCTGAAGTCACAGTTTGGACACCATGCTCATTTTTGGACATGGTGGTTTAAGAGGGAAAGAGAGTCCAGGAAATAAAAAATAAAAAAGGGTGCATTTAAAAAATGTAGCATCTAAGGAAGGCTTTAAAGAACTGGCTTTGTTTAATTAGTAAGTAGATGGTGAAAAGAGGACAGGCCAGCGGGTTTTAAATAAATGAGAGGATACAATCAAAGAACAGGGTGGAGGTGGGGGAGAGGGGTTTGTCTGGAAAAACACAAGCATTTGGCTTAATGAGGAAGAGAAAACCTGATAAAAAAATCTTCAAGAAAAGAAAGAAAGAAATGAAAGAAATCCTCATTAGCCACTAAGGGAAATGATGGAGCAGCCATTGAAACAAAAAAAACTTTCACACAGGTTGTTTATGAACAATTCACTAAGACATTTAATCATTCAGACTTTGTCTTTTGGTACTGCCCTCGAGGCAGACAGGCTTTTTAATGCTTGCCAATCCAGCCCACTGCTCTGAGTAACACTTTTGACTAAAGCCTGTGTTTTTATAATTCAATTATTTCAAAATACAAAGAAGCCAGCAGTGTTGTAGCTTCAATAAAGAGAGGAAAAGGGAGTTGGTACATTTGGACATCTGGGGTCTTAAATTTATGGCCCTTCAAGGACGTTGGAGGAGATAGAAGATTCCAGAGGAGACAGAAGCCTGGAAAGTTTGAGACAACTCATGTGCAAGGAAATTATAAAGAGATTAAAGAATGACAACCAAATCAGCATGAAATCAATAACCAATACAGCACAGAACATTGATTACTGAAGAGAATCATGCACCTTAGAACCAATGAACATTAATTTATTTATTCGCTGAAAATTTACAAATAAACAAAAAGGCGGGAAGGAAGCCACCAACCCTCCCAACACGTTATTGGCTGCCCTTAGCCCCGCCTCCATTTGCCACAGCCCTTAGCCCCGCCCCATTACCCTCCCTAGCCCCGCCTCCATTGGCCACTGCCCTTAGCCCCGCCCCTCCATTGAGCACCGCCCCTAGCCCCCGCCTCCATTGCCCGCTTCCAAATCCGCGCTCTCCATTGGCTGTC